CTGTGTGAGTGCGGGTTTTCCGCATTCACTTTGATCAAAAGCAATTGCCGGTCAAGGCTGCAGCCAGAGGATGATCTGTGTTTATTCCTGTCTACATTGCATCCCCGCATCACCCGCCTGTGCGCATCAAAGACGCAGACTCATTGTTCCCACTAAAGTAGGGGTGAGTGTAATAAGGAGGCAAAGTTGACGTTCAGTGTGTTGCCAGGAGCATATAAGGATTCATCCACAATGTTGAACATTTAAAAAAAAATATTTTTAAAGATAAAAAGGTTTTAAAAGGTTGTTGTTTAATGTTTTAAGGAGGTAACTCTACTCAGCCAATCAACTTGGTGCAGTCAGTGAGTCAGCACGATAGATTCAAACACACAGAGACGAGACAAGAAGAGAGAAACAGTCGGAGTCATTTCAAATGGCGTGCTCAAAACAGAGAAAGGTAGACAGCAAAAACAGAGCATTTAATGGCATTTTCTCTTACTGGACCTCTTTGAAATGCAATTGAATACCCCTGCATTATAGCAACAACAACAATAATAATAATAATAATAATAATAATAATAATAATAATAATAATAGCAATAATAATTGGGAGGGGGGGCGCTGCTGTTCTTATGTTCTCTGAGGGGAGGCTCACCTTCCCACACTTTGAAAATCCCTGGTTTAAGAAATGCTGTAAGAAGTTCTCTTTTGGTGCATTGTAGACACATGCATGCTGTAATGATGTGTCTGTGTGTCTCCCAGTCAAAGCAGATGACATCCCTGGAAAGGTGATCTATGAGAGGAGTGATAAGATTGAGGGTTGTGTGGTGCTGCGCTGGCCGGAGCCTCTCATGCCCAACGGACTCATCCTGATGTATGAGATCAAGTTTCGGCCGGGGACTGAGGTGAGCCAGGCTGGGTTTAACTAAAGAGCCCCTCAGACAAGTTTTAAGAAGTATCAGCATACAAGAGATCAGCAGATGAATGTCATAATGGCCATATAGTGTCAAACTCTGCCTTATTTAGCACAATGAACAGGCATAACCCAATTTTCAGGAGAAGGATAGATCTGATGTCCATACTGTCCAGAACAGTTTTGGTTATTTTTCGAAACAGAATGCCAAATACTTAGTTTTACACTCTATACCTGAACCTGACTATTGACCTTGAAGGCTCACTGTGTTTCAAACAGTAACCATCATGCGTGTTTCCTTTCAGCCTGAGAAACACGAGTGTGTGTCTCGCCAGCAGTACCGTGAGAACAGAGGAGCTCGGCTGACCAACCTGGGCTCGGGGAATTACTCCGCTCAAGTGCGCGCAACATCACTAGCAGGGAACGGCTCCTGGACGCAGAGCGTGTTTTTCTACGTGCCCCCGCCCAAACGTAATGCAACATTTCTTACACATGTATATTGGAAAGAAATGTTGACTGGGTTAAAGTAGATAAGACAAAGATCTGAAGTTTTGATTATTTTTCTGTTTTTTCTTGCAGGAGATGATGGTGTTACGTTCTATTTGGTCATAATAATTCCCATCATAGTGACGCTTTTCATTGCCTGCCTCACCACCATTCTCTTCTTTGTGAACAAAAAGAGGCAAGTATCTTTATAAACATGCTCTCCCCGTTGCCAGACAAAGTTGATAATGTTGTTCTACCTCACTATGCTCATGAAACTTAATGACCAGTGTAATGTCAATTAGAGTTAATAGCTGTTGTTTTCATTAACATTCCCCTGCGGTAAGGAGTAGAGAATTACGCATCCCATCCACAATCAGAGCAGCCTGGTGACTAACTTTTAGGGATGTAACGATATACCGAATATCGCGGTATCGCGGTAAATAAATGTCCCAATACCCTCG